CTTAAGTGAATGCAGTACAGATTTCAGGACTTCTCTTTCTTGACAGTAAGAAATCAGATTTCATTTCTTGATATCAGTAGAGGAAGTGAGTAACTGTCCTGTTGCCTCTGAGTAATAAAGGACAGAAAGACCTAAGGAAACATTTAAGTCTCTGCTGTGTGCCCAACTTCATTTATGGAGGTAACCAATTTAACTTTTAAATGTCGGTACGTTTTTATGAGTGAAAGAGTTCAACTGCAAATTTCAAAACTCTTTACTTTGAAATAAAAAAAATCTAATTCCTACCACTTTAAAAGTATTTAAGTGGTGCTTTGAAAGGGAAGACTTTAATATTTAAAATAAATGGATATATATATATATAACACAATGTATTAATATATAATAACATTAAAAGAAATTGTGACAACGTATGTATTTGCTGGTATAGTCATAAAATATCTCCGGAAGGATGTACAATAGACTAGTAACATTGATTTCCTTGTGGAGGAGGAACGAGGTGGGTGGGACGTAGGGATGGGAAGGAGACATCACTGTATATAACCTTCTGTGCTTTTCGATTTTTGAACTTTGGAAGTGGAATCACCTAAGAGCACATCCCTGCTTCCATTCTTTAGCATTTGTGACGGCATTTTAAGATGCTCCTTAAATCATCCAGTTTGGTACCCACTTCTCCCTAGTTAAATCACATTATCAATTTTCTGTGACCTTTTGCTTGTTAACTGTACCCACGGAACTTCTGGAGCCCTGTGCCTGGAATGGAGACAAAACAGGGAAAGGGGAAGAGATTTCCCCTCCCTTTCCTCCCTCCTTTTTTCTCATTATCCCCAAAGAATAGTTGATGAGTGGTGTGCAGAAATGGATCCCAAGGGACTCAAGGACAATAAGAGACGCACTGTGAATGCTTAGCATTTAAATCGAAAGGAATTCCCCCACCTACCCAGGGACCGTAAGAAGCATGCCTTCCTGACCACTGACCCAGGAGTTATTAGGGAAGTTGCCCTTAGACTAGACTCTCCAGGGATGTTGAAAGCAGCCCCCAGACCCTGCGATGGGATCTGCAGGGCAGCTGGTAAGGCACTCGCCTGGCACCAGTCTGACCTGTTTTGTCAGGGCAGGGAGCTCCCAGCTGTCCAGCTCGGTAGGTGATTAAGTGCCATCCTAAACTTACTGAGCCCCGCATGTCTGTGCAGCAGAAATAGCAAGTGTTGGAGGCAGGGAAAGGTGGTATAAACAGACTGTGTCCGTTAACTGTGGTTCTCTCTCATGTGTACAGTAGTTCCACTTCCCCCATAATGTTTTTGTGACAACTGATACGGGTCCAAAATATCTGACTTTGCCACGCTAGCCTACCACCTGCTTCTTGCGTCCCCCTCCTCCATGCCTGTCAAATTTTCAAGTACACGTTGGCCAGCCCCTCTAGGTTCTGTGGACCGTGGGCTCACTGTTGCTGTGTTGGAGCTGGATTGCTAAGCACAGGCTGAGAGTCGGTTCATGGGCAAAGTCTGAAAGGGGAAAATAACGACTTTTTGTAGTAGCATGAAATTAACATTTGAGCCTGTGGGCAAACATTTCAGAACCACCCTCTTCCTGGTTAAGCAGGAACCTTTTTTTTTTTTTTAAGAGCCCTTCACTTTGGCCTTAGTTTGGGGAAGCACTGGTTAGTCTTGGTTTGGTACCAGATCCCCTGGGTTCAAATGCTGGCCCTGTTGCTTATAACACTGGGAAAGCTCTCTGAGCCTCAGTTTCGTCTTTTCAAAAATGGAGACAGTGTCACTCACCTTACAGAATTTTTGTATTACTGAGATATTGTAAAGGTCAAGTGCAGTGTCTGGTACTTACACACTTGGTAAATAGTAGGTTTCATTCTCACTTTAGGCTTGTGATTCTTTAGCCAGCATTGCTACTTGAGGTTCGTTCAGTAGAGAACTGCTGTCATTTAAAAATGCATTAGGGTACAGTTAGTGGAGGTGATGAGAATTGTAATTTTTTTGTGGGGATATTTGCTAATACCTAGAAAAAATTTACAATGTAGCTGTTTCACTCTTTTATCCAGCAGTCTCCATTCTTGGATTTATCTTCCAGAAATACTTGCACAAGCATGTTACATTATATAGATGGCAATATTTGCTGCAGCAATAACAAGTTGCAATGCTCATTAAGAAGGAACTGGTTAAATTACAGCACATCCCCACTAAGGAATACTAGGCAACTGGTAAAAAGAGGTGTTTTGAGATGTCCTTTTAAGACAGCTGTCCACACATAGTGTTGTGGAAAAGAACAAGGCACAGAGCAGCACATATGGTATTATCTCATTTATTAAAAAATTATGGGATGTGTGTATATAAACATGATGTATATATGTTTATGTATGACATGTGTGCTTCTCTGGAAGGATGTACAAACTTAGCAGTAGTTATCCTTTGACGGGGGAACCAGGTGTTGGAAGAGAGGGAGGGACAGTGTTACTTTTCCCTTTATACTCTTCTGAGGTTGTTGGGGAACATGGTAGTTGCATGGTTCTGAGTATCACCCCACAGAATACTTACCTATCACAAAGGAAAGAAGGTACCTTTACAGTGGCGAGGTCTGGCAGTCACCATCTTATAACCATGTCATCAATTTTTTTTGTATATATATATTTTTTTATTGAAGTATAGTCAGTTTACAATGTTGTGTCAATTTCTGGTGTACAGCATAATGCTTCAGTCATCCATGAACGTACATATATTTGTTTTCATATTCTTTTTCACCATAAGTTACTACAAGATATTGAATATAGTTCCCTGTGCTATATAGTAGAAACTTGTTCACATCATCAAATTTATCCTTGCTGCTTATGGAACTATCTGGTATTATGTGCATCCTGATGTGTTGCAAGAGGAAGCATACAGCTTTACCTATGGAGTATTCGTCCTCTAAATGTTTCATCTGAATCGAATTGCGATTTTAGGCACATTTTGCAGTTTATGGGAAATACAGGGGATGGAGAAGTAAGTTATAAAATGCCAGGTGAAAACAGACATACCAAAATATGGGTCAATCTATGAGACA